GACTGGGGTGGAGCAGATGTAGCCACGTGTTTGGAGAAACAACATGATGTTGCACTGAAGCTCAAGGAAAGATTCATGTCTTGTTTCTACGTCGTTTATGATTTTGAGAACGTATTCTTGACAATCATGTCGACCTGGCAAGGATCCTTGCATGTAGAAGTTTCTGTCGTCGTAACCATTGAGCTCTTTGACAAATGACAAATCTGTAATTTGTAGATTGAAAAGTCGAGCTGCCAGAACTGCTGCTTGCTGTTTATCGACAGGCGGTCTTGCTCGTATTAGGGGAGGATGATCAGTATTCATATTCCTGGAAAATGACTACAATAGAAGAACTTGTAAGAGGACACTCGAGAAACAAGGGAAACGTAACTGAATGTAATTAGAACTAGTATAAGTAGTTATTGTGGTTACTATGGTCTGTAACCAATGAAGGAGCAGTAGGTAGACCAAGAACAATGAGGTATTCCCAAATATGAATATATCAACTAAGTTGAAATGGTAAATTGGCCACCGTTACGATTATGAAAGCTGACGTTTCGAGCGTTATGTTCAAATTATTTCGTTACCCCCATCGACGGAGCCCCAAACAGTTTCTCTAGAAACTATCAGCCTTTATTACCAAATATGGTCAACAAGATAGCGATTTGATTTGTAACACAATTTTCAGGTTGTCGGGCTGTCACGAAAGGGTGTTACGCGGGGAAGTCACCGGTTAAGCGGTAAAACATAATTTGTATGATGATGCCTCCATTCAAGTCGATCCGTCTCGACAGATGGAGGGTGGATCAGTAAGGTTGCTTCCCACCTTCGCGGGAGTCCTTCGGGAAAAAATTCGTACGCGCGGTAGTTTCGAGAAAACCCTAACAAACTAGACATCAAAAGGAAGCTTATTAAATGTAGTTTACGATGAAAATATAATTTGGGCGATTTTTCATTTAGGGAGTGTCAGGATTCAGTAAGGCGTGAAATGACCGTGGGTCCTTCTATTGAGTTTATCGGGTATCGGATCCCGCAACACGAGCAAAATGGCTGCACAGTCCTATTCACAAGGCATCAATCAACAAAAGTGTATCAGGGTTTTAAGATATTCTAATTAGATATCCGCATCTTAAATTAGAGTAGCTTAAAATATGCGAAACGCGTTACGTAAATGGACACCACGTGAAAAATATTTTAAATATCAAAATTACCTGACACAGTTTCGTTCGTCATTATCCCTGGATTGTTTTGGTGAAATTTCACGAAAATAAAACCTATATAGTCGCTCAAAATGGATGTATTCCTTTCAAAATCAAATGAGAGATTTTAGCTCCTAAAGGTTTGCAAACAACCAGCGCCACACTAGGAGAATATCTTGCCTCCTAAAACTGCGAACCAATGGGAAGATGGGACCTCCTAGCGTTAATGACAATGGATCAAGATTTTCCCAAGAAAAGAGTCCTACTCACGTTTATTTGTCTCGCCTGTTGAACGTTCAGTAATAGGAAAAGTTGGCAAAGGAAAACCCTGCGGCAAAAAGGGTAAAGCTGGAGAAACTGCTGAAAGGCAAAACAGCGAACTGACAGACAGCTTAAGGAATACCCTTATCACTGAAATGAGTTCCCTCGCGTAGTTTTTTCACGATTTCATGATTCAAGGCGATTTTCTATGTTTTTGTATCAAGGCTGGTGAAAGGAAACTTCATTTTTAACCTTATGTACGACAAATGTAGATTTGATGGCGACCTCTTTGTTCGTAATTTTGATGCTAGCGTGGAGAATGGGCTGGGACTGTTTTTTTCCTAATAAATGGTTCCATTTCTCTCTTCTTTGGGCCAGTTGTTTTCTTTTTCTTTGCTGAAGGACTCCTCTCTTATTTTGATTTATGTTTTTATCCACGAGAAAAGACTTTCCACCAGCAAAGAACTTCCACGTGTGAATTTTGTCAAAATATGCAAATAACATGAAATTGTTGCGAATATTCTCCCAGGGTGTTCGCTTATTTACGAGATTATGACACCTTCCTGATTTATTAACTTCTATTTGAAAATACGTTTTCCCAAACAAGTCGGAAACTTTTTGAGACTTTAAATTTTTTCTTTTTGTAAACGTTAGCTAAAATGTCTAACACGTAAGAAATATCGCCAAAATCAGAGAGTACATTGGCGAGGATAGTGCCAAAATTGTTGTTCATGCCTTTGTTACTGCGAAATTGGATAGCTGCAATTCCCTGCTTTATGGTCTCCCACAACATCTAATTTCAAGATTGCAATCTATTCAAAACAGAGCAGCTCGGGTTGTTACACGTACTAGGAAATTTGATCATATAACCCCCGTCCTCAAACAGCTTCACTGGCTACCTGTCCGTTACCGTATAGTTTTTAAAATTCTCCTACTGGTCTACAAAGCTCTCAAATGGAACAGCGCCTTCCTACTAAAGTACTACACCTCTGAACGGAAATTGAGGTCGTCCTCTCAACTCCTTCTGGCGAGACCCCGAAAGCTAGACTGAAAACATATGGAGAGAGAGCGTTTGCTGTGGCGGCACCAAGACTATGGAACTCGATCCCACTTGAACTAAGATCCGGTAGTTCAATAGACATTTTTAAACGACATTTAAAAACACATCCTTTTAAAGGCTGATAGTTTCGAAAGAAACTGTTTGGGGCTGCGTCGGTGGGAGTAACGAAATAATTTGGATGTATCAACAAAGTTGAAGTGGTAAATTGGCCACCGTAGCGATTACAAAAGCTGACGTTTCGAGCGTTAGCCCTTCGTCGGAGCGAATAGAGGAATTGTGGGTTGTGTGTGCTTTTTAAACAAGCTTTTTAACTCTTAATTTTTAGATGATTTTTAACTTATTGATGTAAAGCGCCATGGACAAATAGTGGATTGTGCGCTATATAAATGTTTCATCATTATTATTATTATTATTATTATTATTAACTTTAATCTAATCCAATAAAAGTAAAAACCATTTTTTCTCCTGCTGAAGGTGGGAAGTATTAATTTCAAACCGCGTGATCCTCCTCCTTAAAGTAGACCAGAATTTAATTTCTACTTCCACACCGATCAACCTTCGGCCCAAAAGACTAGCCAGGCTGCATGGAATTATCTATTCTGTCCCAAGAAACATTGTCCCGTTTTCCCGGAATTAGTCAANATCGCCACTCGATAAAAAGCTACATATACCGATATCGTACCGACATTTCACCGAACTTGATCGACATCAATCTTGCTGTTGTTATTGTTCAGCATCCTTTTCGAAACTCTAAGAACATTCACTGAAATTGTTTAACTTGATTCTAGATTCATGGCCATGATCCGAATGCCTTCTTTGAACCAACCGTCTAAAACTATTTACGAAATGATAGCGACAAATGAATGTCAGTGAGTATAAGCGTGTGTGCTTTTAAAGTGGTTTTACCATCGAAATTACCATCTTCCGCGTCATCTAGGACGATGCGATCTAGCTAAGCTCGAAGAACACGAATTTTCTTCCTGGCCTCAGCCTTCTTAAATTATCAAATGGACATAAAAATATTGTCTTTCGATAATATGATTACTGAAGAAATGCGAGAGCAAGTCGAGCGACGAATAAATAAACTAATTCGCACAAAAAATGTACTGAACTGTTTTTTATGATATGCTTATCACGTTTCAATAATTTTCATCATTAGATGAGCTTTGTCAAGGTTAGATCTCGTTCTTGCAAAAAAATGTCGAAGTACCACGAGGTCGCAAAAATTCTAGCTGTTCGTTCTATTGACGGAGTGAAAAGACAATAATATTCTTAGGAGGGGGACATTGGTTTTTCTCGTTGCCATGTTCCCACCAATAACGTAGCTCCATTTTGTGCCTTTAAAAGCACACACAACCCACAATTCCTCTATTCGCTCCGACTAAGGGCTAACGCTCGAAACGTCAGCTTTTGTAGTCGTTACGGTGGCCAATTTACCATTTCAACTTTGTTGATATATATCCAAATTAATAGTATTCTTATCCTGTCTTATAAATCTTGCCGTCTAAAAAATCAGATGCCATCTTCAGAGTACATAAAACCTTCAGTGGCGTTCAGTTATTCATCTCTCAAAGAATTCAAAACTCATCTCGGTTTTTGTTCTTTTGTTTGTTCTTTTTTGCAGAGGATGAAAAACTTCGTCAATATGGCTACACGAGTGACAAAGTCTGTGATTTTGGCTAAATTTAACGTAAATAAGGATAGACTTTTATAATTGATAAATAATATATTGTCATGATATTTCACACTATTTGAGCAAACTTGTATAATTTTTTAGATATATATATATAATATATATGTTTTTTAATTGAGGCAGTTTATTTTTATAAGGAATCCTCGTATCCGTGATTTTTTTCTTTTATTTATTTCAATTGTTAATTTATCTACAATTTGTATATTAAGATCTGTATGATTAAAGTTGAGTAAATAAAGTAAATAAATAAATAGTAATGCAAAATGCCGAGACCAGGATTCGAACCTGGGTTACTGCGGCCACAACTGAGTGTCCCAACCACTAGACGATCACGGCTGGTCATACGAGCAGCAGTTAATGATTTAAGTAAAATTAAACGTAAAATAGGTCCTACGACTATGAGGGATTCAAAATTTTTAATTTTTCCTACATGGTACCAAAAATAGAAATTTCTATCGCATGATCCGTGTCACGTGTTTGAACATCGGAAAGATTAACATATAAATGATGTTTTCCCGGCCAACTCATTTATGGCTCTTTGCGTGACATCCCCCCGTTAATAAAGTTAAGGAAGGTTGACACGTTATTTTTTCTCGCATGATTATCACTTTTGTTATTAATTATTTTACGCTTTCACAGCCTACGCGAACTCTTAAAAATCAATCTAAGAGTATATCGACTTCTATGAAGTATTGTGAACTACAACAAAAGAGTTATTATATACCAATGAACAAAGGAGGGGGACATTGGTTTTACAGTGTTGACCCTTTTCTTAATGCGGTGACGAACAACTCGCTTTGCGGTTTTGCGGTGATTTCAAACCGACGGTGTTCGGTGAAATAAACCATTTCCGGTGTCGCAATATCGGCCAGCCAAAGACCAGCGCGGTAAAGATGAGTGAAACCAGANAAGATACAACAATCACAGACTCTCTTTCAAAAACCGAAAATACTCACATGACACTGTACTTTCAAAACACATTTGGGACTTAAAGGAGCGAGGCAACGACTACAAGACCAACTGGCGCATCATCAAAAGTGCAAGTGCATACAAAGGCAAACCATCTCGTTGCAACCTGTGTTTGGCTGAAAAACTTTGCATCTTGACCGCTCAAAATGCCTCTCTCTAAATAAGAAATCTGAGCTTGTAACGAAATGCCGCCACGAAAACAAGTTCTTCACAGCATCCAATCAGAAGAAGCACGCGCGTGACGACTTCTAACCGTTCTTGAATTTTAAACATTCATAACCGTTTGCTTCTCGTAGACAACTCTCAGTCCGGATGATCGCCTAGAGCGTGAAACTCGAGTAACTAGTAATAATTTCCTTCTTTCACATTTGTTGTATATATAAATATATATATTCATCAGCTTCAATTTCGCACGTCGCTTTATATGTGAAATGGTGAGCCTAATTTTCTTAAATTTGACTATAATTTGCTATCGATGTTAAAAATTTTCCATCTTCAGTCCTCCTTGTTCCCTGTTTGATAATTTTTTTCTCTTTGGGTTTGATAACTTCGGTTCACCTACCCAATCCCTTATATTTCGCATTTTTCCATGTGTAATACATATAACTTTTAAAACGTTTTGGTGTGTAGCATTGCTGAGTACTTTTATGTGCCGTATTTTGACGAGCCCGAAGGGTGAGTTAAAACACAAACAACTCAGCGAGTAAAAATACTAAAAATACTACGCGACACTACACAACAAAACTTCTGATAAGAGATTTATTATTCAACACGCCAAAGTATTATTTCAGTGCGGGTGAATTTCGCGTATATTTATCCAATTCGTCTTACTGGTTTTCTGGAGTGCAAATACCGTGAGATATTTGTACTCGTTTTGGGCGTTATTTACTCCACGAAGCACGGTTGGATAATAATAGGCAATACTACGCACTAAAACTTCCAACAATTTATCATAGTTCAACTGCTTTTTTTTTTTTTGATAAGCAACTCTTTGAAGTGGAAGCAGAAGCGTAATACACGCAGTCGATCGCTTAAACAGGTTTTTACACCGTTGGTTCTATCTTGCCTCAATGCTTTTTATTACCCCTGCCATCCGTGATTTTTATTGCAGCTCTGAAATAAGGCACATGCGCGAGAGTTAAAAACGAGTAATATCTTCAGGTGACGAGAATACTCTTCAAAATGGTTGATGGGGTGACCACAACAGGATATTTTTACAGTTGGTAACGAATCGTAAGTCAAGGAGATATAGTTGCAGTGAATTTTTTTCTTTCCTCTCTTTTTGTTTTGTTTTGATTTGTGTTTTTATAAATTTTTGGAAGAATTCAGGTGAATTTCAATTAATGTTCTAGCTTCTTCTCAAATAAGTTTTAATTTTTTTTTCCCTTCAGTATCTTAAATGGAAATGAAGATGAAAAGCCATTATTTTCTTGCAGATTCCTCCATGGGTTACTGCGTAGAAATGAATGAGGGAAGAAAACGAATAAAGTAAAGGTCAATATCATTTCTTAGCATCAAGGAGCTTACCATGTTCTTCAGGTGTTTTGACTAGAGGAGGAGGAGGCGGAAGGCTAAGTCTTGGAAGGCAAGACTTTCGTTTGCACTTGCACCTCCCCGTTGGATCCACAGATGGTTCCTCTGTCTCTTCAGGGACCTCTCCCAAAGAACACGTTGGTAAGCCGCGGGGGGGACACAAGGAAACGCATCCCACATGTCCAGTTCGGCCGTTACAGCTGCACCATCCAGTGCAGGATTCATCAGCAAAGCGTTCCCACGGGTCGTATATGGAGTCCCCGTGGAAGCACGGTTTTTCTATCAAGAAAGATGTCACGAGCGTTACACAAATTATAATTTTTGAGACACCAGGCGACGCGCCGGATGAAAAGGTCTGCGTTGGAGATGTTAAGGCGGTCATGATATTGCGAAGGAACACTGCCTTTCTTCACACGGGTTATAAGATGAAAAATTGCAGGAATACTTAACAAAATGCCGATGATTAACCTGCACTGGTCTGCTATCCAATAATCCCATGCCACCCTGTTCAGTATAAGTAACAATAGTCCTAGACTTCTAATGCCACAAAGACTGAGACATTTTCTGGTTTCCGGCAGGCATATACATATCATGCGAGTCTACTCCTAACTATATTCAATTGTATCACATGATACTAAAAATCAGGTCAATCACCACCCGCATGAGGAACGGGAGACTGCAAGGATCAAGGATTGAACCGACGTCCACTTTCAGTCCATTGTAAAATTATGGAGAAAGAAATTTTCTTTGCATGAAATNGACTCAGTTATCAGAAACACGTGTACAATTACAGCAAACTGACACCGCGACCACATTTAAAGATTGGTCCAACCTTTCAGTGGGTTATTGCTTTTCGGCGTTTGCTTTTCCCTTGTTGAGAACCATTCTCAAGTAAAGAAGCTTCCTTGGAAAAAGACCAACCGGTTCCGAAAATTCGCTTGTGGCCGATGTAAATAAGCTCTCAGAATTAGTTACTTATAATTTTCATTTGACAGCCGTTCTTGAAGATCCTGCAAAGCTTTTTGGAAGGATTGTTGGGTGAGTCGATGCTAATAAACAGCCGAAAGCTTATAAAGTAATGGATCCATTTTGTACATGTCGTGTATTTTCATCTCCCACCGTTCTCCACAATGAATAACTCAGACAATTGTGTCGGTACGTTAGTATTAAAAGTTTCGACACGATGCAAATGAACGGCTTCATATATTGTGTCATTAGCTTGACCAAATTGCGAAACGACTTACCATCAAGATAGTAGCTTATGGCGATCCAAAGCAAGATCAATCCTTCTTTGGGTGGTCCTTTTAGTGATGCCACCGGCAAGAACGTTACTTCTAGTTATTAAAAACTGTAACTGAACAGCGACAACGCTTACGTAAAACGACGGGCAGTTCAGTAATTTTTATCACAATGATTTCATCAAAATGTCAGGTGATATCTGGCAGAGGGGAAATGCCCCCCTGCTAATAGGGGCAAATTATTATCCAAAACAAATAGATATCCAAAAACCTTTAAAATAAAACATAACAAACTAAATTGGTTACATTAACTCAGTCTTGTAGTTCCCCCCAACCGAGACGACACTACAGTTTTTTTAAGAAACTAACCCCTCTTATGAAATATAAGTGGATTACTTACGAATGTCGTTTAAAAGATAAAACTATGCTACATACGGTACCTCGAACTCCATCTAAAATCAAGAAAAAAAAAGAAGTTAAAAATAAAATTGATATTGATTATGGATTGTATGGGTGGTAACCACTTTGGCTTTCCAGGATGTTATTTTTGAGAATCAAGTATGCGTATCCGGGTCTTGAACTGACAGCCGATCATTCTTTGCGGGAAATATTTCATCAGAGTATTGGGCCTAAATATCTGATTGAATGTTTTCCGCTCGCAACCGTTTTAATGTTAGTTAACTGCCAGGATCTAATTGCTAATTCTCCCCTCTAGCTGCCATAAATTTCTCTGTAAATTAGTTACGCGAACTCCCTGTTAGATCAAGATAACAACTTGTACCTGATAAGTTTGAGCATTCTCATTACCTATTTGCAGGATAATTTTTAGTTATAGGAGAAGTTACTCGTTCATCACTTCTAGGAGTTAGAGGGTTAACTAGAAGTCTGTACTCGCATGACATACACGTTATACATAAAACGTGACACACGTTACT